AGCTCCAGGGCTGGCTGAAGGGGACTGGGAGGAGTCCCACATACCTTCTTCTCGCTCCCCCAGTGGTTAAAGGATGCGTAAGGCATTTTCCAGACACAAAAAAAGGCTAAATTCACTGGAAGCCGTGCAATGCCGATCACCGAAAATTAGGGCACGTTACGCAACTCTCATAATATCACCTAACATTTTAAATAATTCATATGAATTACTTAAATTCCTGCTCTGCTCTTATGCCGTCATAAATGGGACTTCAAACTCCTTATTAAATTCCAACAATCTGAATTCATTATCTTAGTCATGAGTGAGTTCCGTGTTAAATTATAAAAACAATTAAACGATATTACCTCACTGTAAGTATGTTACCTTGACTGTCTAAATGTCTTTCTGAATTATCATAATAATCTTATATTTTACGGAAACCCTGTTTACGGCTTTTCATATTTTATCACCTGCCATAACCAAAAGTAATTTATATATTTATTACTCATTATTTTGTAGAATGTGATTTGGCCTTTTTGGGGGTTCCGTAGTCCTGACCCTTATAGTTTTGTCATGTCCGTCTGTCTGTCCGTCCCCCGTTTTGCTTGGAGAGGACTAAAAATCTGTAATTTTGTGGAGATATGTATATCGATCACACCGGCAAAATTGTAGAATATAATGTTGAAAAATATTTATTTTTAGAGTGTAATGTACCTACATGTAACCAGGTTACCCTGCCGATGGTTTTTTTCGACATCTACGACATCGTGTGGGGTATCATTGAATAGATCTTTTAAAATTATTTCTAAGGCTATTTTTCGATTTAGTGATTGCAAAATATTTAACTTTAAAGTTCTAATTTTTGTTGGAGTAGGGCATCCCCCCTCTAAAACCTAAACTTTTAGCTTGAAAAACCTGGAAAAAAATCATCATAATAGTGCTTTTTATGAACTTGAAAGTAAAATATTACGGCAAACGGTTTCTAAATCGCGCAATCGTTACATTTTTATAAAGAGTATATAAGCACTTGACAAGATCGGCGGTTATCATTCGTATGTAAAAAAATGTCGAATCGATTTTGAGTTTGAGACACACTTTGATTTTGTCTTTGATTTAGGTAAGGTAATGTAGTTGAGGTACGTAGTTTGATAATCATTTATTTTTTAATTTCCGATACAGAAATAAAGACTCTTTCTCAAATATATTGTGGCAAGGGCGGATCCAGAATCCTAACCTAACCTAACCCCCATGACCCCCCCGGTCATGGGGGTTATGACCCCCCCCCCCCCCCCTGGGCTAGGTCCATCTGTACCCACTTCACAATCTGTACACACTGTGACTTGACCACGACTATATGACCCCCCCCTGGCGCCAAAGCTGGATCCGCCCTTGGGTAACGACAGGCAACTATGGAACCCTACACTTCGCGTGACCACGACACACAATTGACCGGTTTTTAATATTGTTATTATAACAGCTTAATACACGTATATGTATAACATTAATTACTTACCTTTCTATCTGTCAGCACTACTAATAGACCAGGGTCGATAATTTTAAAAATGGTAAAAAGTGAAAAAAATTATAGTAGGATGAAACCCATTGAAAAAGGTAGAGAATATAACAAAACTGAAAGGAAAAATAAATTACAGGCGATCTGAGGCCAGGAAGGGGGAGGGGGTGAGTTTTTAAGGGTAAAAAACCGGTCAATCTCGATTTCCGGTAAAACTGCAAGTCCTATGAAAAAAAGTTAAATGGCAAAGTTGTAGGTAATAAAAAGATCTACAACTTTTGTCTCAACACTTTTTTCACATAACCTCAAAATTTATGTGAAAAAGCCGAATAACCGAGTTTTTGGTTTTTTATTTTCTGCAAAAAAAAATATTATTTATCTCAAAAAAATCTAGACCCTGGTCTATAATCTCAAAAGAGGTTAAAAGCATGAATATGAATAAATCAAATAATGCATGAATAAGATTCTCTGCTAGCAAGAAAGACACAACTTTTATAAATGAATAGCAAAACCATGATGATTATGGCTTAATCGATAATAATAATACGCCGTACGCAGTAGCTACGGTTTAAAAAAAAACGTCGTTGATATGTTTTCGATTTTCAAAAAAAAAATCAAAAATATATTTATTCACCAATACAAAATTTTAACTTAGCTTACAATTAAACAGTGGTTTTTGCCCTGAGCTGAGCTCGTAACGCAAAGACCTAATATTTCAGTTTTTCTAAATGGTTCGCATTACAATATGTTGACAAAACTCGGGAGGTGAACATTGTGAGTGAGGAAGTTACGGTAATACATAAATGTTCGAGTAACATTATAAGACAAAAAATATGACAATAGTAAAATTCTTAAAGTAACTTTAAACATTTCTTACTGAATATTTTTACAAGTTACCCATATATTTAAATAAAAATCCTCGAATTATAATTACTCTACGTGTGTATATGTGAGTGTGAGTCTGTGTGTGTGTGCGAGTGTGGATGTGTGTGTGTGAGTGTATGTGTATGGGTGCATGGGTGTGTGCCTGTGATAATTTTCAACTCACCCATAGTTAAGTAAGTAGTCAACTTACAGGCCTGATTATGTCTTCTGTTTCCTGATATAATAGATCCATGAGCCAAGAGGAAGCCATCCTTCTGACACAAATTGTAGACTGAAGGTGAAGATTAGCAAAGAAGCGACAAATCTTGTTGTAAATGAAAGGAAGAAGAAATGTGGCATAGCGTTGGATGAATGACGTTATTTTAATTAACAACGGGTAGAAACATTTTGTATTTGAATCAGCAGTCAGAGAATGCTTTTTAAGAAGCCAGAAAAGGAATAGAACAGATGTCAATACCCTTTTGTGTCCAGATTTATTCACAGTGACTATTCTAAGTCTGCGTCGAAACGGGCACAAATCAAACACAAGACACAAAGGGTTTATGCGGGTGGGAAAGGTCCTTTTCATGTCTGATGAATGAAATCCCTGCTGGCGGACGACCTTAAAATACGGCTACTTATTGTAGTGATTCGAGAAGCTGAAAACAATTATAGATAGCTGTACCTCCCGTCTACTATTATTATTTTTGTGTCTTGACTTTTTGTTGAATCTTGCTCAGCTAATATTTCAGTGTCGATATATATTTATGAACAGGATTTACTTCATGATTAAAAAATATGTGAAGAATATAGGTAATGTAATTGTCTAAGCTACGTCAGCGTTACTTTCACAATCTAAAAAACTCAAAGGTGACTGACTGACATAGTGATCTATCAACGCACAGCCCAAACCACTGGACGGATCGGGCTGAAATTTGGCATGCAGGTAGATGTTATGACGTAGGCATCCGCTAAGAAAGGATTTTGATCAATTCTACCCCCAAGGAGATAAAATAGGGAATGAAAGTTTGTATGAAACTTGGTCAATTTTAAACCGATCGGGCTGAAACTTTGCATGCAGGTATAAGAAGAATCATAGATGGATGTCATTGTGTATAATACAAGCCTGAGAACAAAAACTGTAGTCTACACCGAAGCGAAGCGAGGGCGGGCTGCTAGTATTAAATAATCCGTGTATAATACTCACCTTGCACAAACATAACATTTATTCTAATATCATAAAATATATTAGCAATACTTAGACTTTAGCTTTTTTCCATTCCCTGGCTTTTCTTTGATGACGTCCCTTTCCTTTTTTTTTTAAATACGCCCTCATGTTTTTGAACATTATTCGTTGCGGTATAGAGTTTATTTACACTCTAATATACCTACATGCTGCCTGCAGCAAACTAATGAGGATGTGTGGCCAACACAACAGTTGCGCTAGACTATGGATGCATATCTATACTAATATTATAAAGAGGAAAGGTTTGTATGTAAGTATGTTTGTAACGAATTGGCTCAAAAAGTACTGGATCGATTTTAAAAATTCTTTTACCATTTGAACATGCTACATTATCACTGATTAATATAAGCTAAAGCGTATTTTCAAAAAAGTTAGGGTTCCGTATGAAAACTTCGATGATGTAACCCAACGTGTGTAAAAAATACCAAAAAATAGCCTTATATCACGTACGCTGCGAAAGTCATTGACAATAGAACAAAGTGATGTACTAAAGTTTTATAGATGATACCAATATCTACAAAAAACCTCTGCAATACCATAAGTCTAACTACTAAAGTTATGTCACAACTAGAGGTCCCCTGCGGTTTCGCCCGCGTTAATTTGAGGAAAAAGGTTTATAGTGAGTCAAATTTTAAATATAGACATAGACTGTCGTGGGCTTTTTCACAGAACTTTTAAAGGGAAAGAATTTCGTCCTACATGATTTTTGTGTAACTTTAACCGTTTACCCAGCGCACGCAACGGAATGTCACAAATGGGATATTTTTACCCGTTTTTGCAACATTTTTCATCGATGCTCCGCTGCTACTGGTCAATAGCCTTGTAATATATAGCCTATAGCCTTTCTCGATAAATGCACTGTCCAATACAAAAATATTTTTTCGATTCGGAACAACAGAGCAATGTTGCATTCGGTACAACGGGTCCTAAACTACGCAACGAATTTTTTACTTAGAATGGGAGGTTTATAATTATTATGAAGAACGTCATTGTGTATAATACAAGCCTTTGAACAAAAACTATAGTCTACACTACAGCTCTACACCGAAGCAAAGCGAGGGCGGGCCACTAGTGTTATTAATTATAAACCCATCTACTATAAAAAGCTAAACAAGTGATCTCATGGTCCTCTGACTTATAAAAAGCCAAAAAAAATTTTTTTTAAATAAAACTAGTTTTTACGGGTTAATGCACGAAACTTTATTTATTTATTGACGTTTCGTAGCCTTTACAGGCTTCGTCGTCAGAATAAAACTTTTATTTAATTTGTCGAGCTACCTTCGAAAGACTTTTATTGAGCGTTTGGTTATTTCATTTATCAAATATTTTTTTACAAAAACAGAAACTGTGTCACTTGTTGATGCCTTACTTTTATTTATATATTGTATTTGTCAACAGTGATATGCACGCGGCAGTATGCGGCGGTAGGGCGGGTCTCTGTGACGCAATGAGGCCTGCCAGCGGCTCCGATCTACTCAGATACCTCAGAAAAGTCAACTTTACTGGTGAGACTTGTATCTTCATCATCACCAACCTATTAATGTCCCCTCTGCTGGGGCACAGGGGACCATTCCCCTTACGGAAATGCTTTGGAAAACGCTAATGCTTACGATTTCATTTTGTTATTTAGCCGCCTGAGGTTTTCAAATGCCTCGCGCTCTTTTTTTCTTTTGCATTGGTAATAACTATATTAAAAAACATGAGCGTGAGGTATTTGCAAACCTTCGGCGGTCAGAAATAATAAAATAAAATCGAAAGCGCTAGTGTTTTCCAAAGCATTTCCGTTAGGCGAATGACCTCCAGGCCTGGCCTGGGGATGGAATAGGGAGATTGGGCCATGACCAAGCACGCGAGCCCTGTGCGGATTTGTGGGTGTTAAAGACTGCAGATACAGTCAAGACCAACGGCTTATCGTGCCTTCTGAAGCACAGAGAAGCTCAATAAATTTTTGGGTCACCCATCCGATGACCGATCATTGCGAAAGTTGCGAACTTTCATGATCGCAGGCCGAACGCGCTATCCACCTGCGCAATCGAGATCCTTGTATCTTAGATACAAATATTTAACTTTCTGTCTGCATTTACCTGTTTCTAATTTATAGCTCTCTATTGAGACCCAAAATTGTATAAAATTGTCTTTGAGGGGGGGGGGGGGGGGGTGGCAGCTGTGCCACAGTTTTTACTATTACAGCTGTCAACTATTTCCTCTTAACACACTTGTAATTTGGAGTAAAAATAAATAACTTAATTATTTATAATTTTATTTTTTAAGCATGTAACTGTTCAATGTGAGGGTGCGAGTTCGAGTCCCTGTGATGTATGATAAATAAAAGTAATACCAGTAATTAATGTTTCATCACTTCGACATTTATTTACTAAAATCGACCGAAAATGTCACTGGAGAACATCAGATTTTATTCCGTTCGCTTAATCTTTTGCGGACTTTGTCCTGTATATTTTCAGTGCCCATTTTTTGTAATCGTCACCATCCACACATTTTAATATTCTAGTCACATACGCTTTATTTCGCCCCATCAAGCTGCACAAATGACTACACTTATTCTCGACATCGTGTGGGGTAAAACCTGAGGTGAAAGAAAACATTTTCTCAGCTTTTTATAAAAATAAAAAATGTGTTTTTGTAATGCATAGCAATATTTTTTTTACGTGCTGGTGCTAAATTCGTTGTAACATTTTTATTTTGAAACGTTTCTTTTATTTTCAAGGTTATTCTACTTAAGAAATTTTTATATATAAAATATTTCAATAATAATAAATATTTCCAACACACACACCAATTAGCCTAGCCCCAAAGTAAGCACTGTAAGGCTTGTGTTATGGGATACTAGGGTAACGGATAGAATACATATACTGGACTTATATATTTATATAGAAATACATATTAAACATCCATGACTGGAGTACAAATACACGTATTCATCACACAAACATCTGCCCCCACCGGGACTCGAACCCGGGACCTCTCGAGTCGGCGACACCATGAAACCCGGCGTACAAAACCACTCGGCCACCTAGGTCGTCAAGAGGTTCTATGACATACGGAATTTCCAAAATAGGCTTTTTACCTACTAAAAAATTATATATATACTTTTTGAATTCTGTATAAACATTTTAGTATCTTACATGGGTAGTATTAAACCACACATCTGAAGTGAAACTTCTTTTCTTAAATGATCTATAAATTTATATTTTTTTTTTGACATTGTGGGTTACCTATAATGCGAAGAGATGGCGCTGCCTTGCAGCTTAAGAATGGCTAGAGGAATTTCGACGCGGTCTGTGAGGGCCGCGGTAGCGTAATTGGTCAGTGCATTCGTCCGGATTGCGAAGAAAATTACATTCGAACGGCAAACTATTTATCTTCTCTTCGATCCACATACACCGGTTTACCTAAAAAGCAGATTTAGGTTTCTGAGTGATTCTCATGGCCGTGTTGTCCGTTCAACGGACAATCTCCTTCTGCATACTCCCGTCCATTCTTTTGGCTTCTTCTTCTGCTCTTTCACTGTCACGGCTGTATGACTCTGGAATGACTTGCCCCCCAATATACGTAAAGCTCCTAACCAACTTGCATTTAGGGGATTGGTTCGTGAGCACTATCTTAATAGCATTAAACAGCGTTCTCATATTTGACTGACATAATCGTGTACTTATGTATGTATTGTATATATGTATGTGTGTACATGTATTTATATATATATGTGTATAATATGTAAGTGTGTATATGTATGTATATATATGTCTATAATATGTATGTATTCTGTTAAGAGTATTTGTATCATAGGTTTATTTTAAATTTGTCTTTATTGCGCCCCCGTCATATTAGTTTTTTCTTACGCTCTTACTGGTCGACTGGTAGAGAATACCTTATGGCATTATGTCCGCCATTTGCTGTGTAATTTTGCAATAAAGTTTAAATAAATAAACTGGGAATTACATTTGGATGCATGCCAGATCTTCAAGCTTACAAGAAATATTTGTGCAGGCCTCAGTGGAGACGAATTCCACTTCGACAGCAACGGCGATGGTCCGGCCAGGTACAACATCTTACACTTCAAGCAAATACAACAGGGCATCTACAGATGGGTCAACGTAGGCCAGTATCTGGACGGAGAGTTGATATTGCATCTAGATGGTAAGCTTTATTCTGTAAGAAGTTAGACATTTTTTTGGAGTTTACTCCTTAAGAATCGATTTGCATATATAAGGGGCCCGGTATGAGAAAAATGTGAGGAGTGAAATCTATCGATGAATGACCTCGTTACGTTTTTACTGTCTACGCTGTAGCAGCCGTAGTGCTACACCGTAGCACAGTATCGTAGCGTACCTTTATTTATGCACATCTGAAATTGACATTTGTAAAAAGTTTAATGTAAAATATTTCGTCGATTAGTTATAATAAATGTATATGAAATGAATAAATATATATTTATATATGTATATTATTTTCATTAATTTGTTAATTTACCCTTTCATACAGTATCAATCTTTTTTAAGTTAAATAAACTCTTTTTGCGTCTAGTTAGACTATCGAACTTAAGAAGTAAGCTCCAGTCGTGCGTCGGAGCTGACATACACAATCTTTTATAAATTTAATAATAATAAATAGTTCCAACACTCACACCAGCCTACCACACATTAGCCTAGTCCCAAAGTAAGCACTGTAAGGCTTATGTTATGAGATACTAGGGTAAGGGATAGAATACATATACAGTACATATATAAGTATATTTATATAGAAATACATATTAAACATCCATGACTGGAGTACAAAATTAAATGCTCATATTCATCACAGAAACATCTACCCCCACCGGGATCCGAACCCGGGACCTCTCAAATCCGCGACACCATTAACCCGGCATACAAACCAATCGGCCACGGAGGTCGTCATATAAGAATCAGAAAAAGAGAATATGACATCATCAACAGCCTATTAATGTCCCAACTGCAGACTGGCCCGTGACCCACCACTGGGGCCAGTGCGGATTGGTGGGAGCTAATGACTGCAGATTCAACTGGGACCAACAGCTTAACGTGCCTTCCGAAGCACGGAGGAGCTCGGAATAGTCAATTTTTGGTCATCCATCCAATGACTGACCATTGCGAAAGTTGCTTAATTTCTCGATCGTAAGCCGGACGCGCTATTCTTGCTGCTTCGTCGAACACCTCAGTGTGATGAATGTGTGATAATAGCAATTATACTCTACCTGCAATATAATGAAGATCTCAAATGATTAACAACATTATCACACTGAAGTTAAAGACTTATTGCTTTAGTATAGTACAATGCAACAATGTTACGATCGGCAGTGTATACCACGTACTGTACCCCTAGCACGAACCGTTATCGAATTCGATTAGTTTGCAAACCGAAATGTCAGTGTCAAATTTTGTATGGAAACTGGCAAAGAAGCGGCACAAAGTACGTAAACAGAACTAAAAATCAATACACATTTGACAATGACATTTCAGACTCGATTTTGATTCGAATTCGATATTGGTTCGTACTTAGGGTACTGTACCCTGTGTATTCAGATAGTTGAATTCGATGTCAATACGCGTTAAATGTCAAAGAAGTTTTGTATGGAAGATTTTTAATTCTCTTTACGTCGATGTGGCGCTGTTCAAACTTCCATACTAAACTTCTTGACATTTGACTCGTATCGAGATCGAATTAAACTACATAATTCGAATTTGATATTGGTTCATGTTAAGGGTACAATACGTACGTGTAGCACTCCAACGTACTGCTACGAGTTTCGCTACGACCGACGCTCTCGCTACGCAGCTACGATCTGTAGCACGTTGGTACAGTTTCACGAACTTCTCAATTGGGTGTATAAATTATACACTTTCGTTCAGTTTTCGAGGAGCTCGATGGCGCAAGTGGTTAGCGCGTTCGGCTGCGATCGTAGAATTTAAGCAACTTTCGCAGTGGTCGGTCATTGGATGGGTGACCAAAAATCTTCTATCTCGAGTTCCTCCGTGCTTCGGTAGGCACGTTAAGCCGTTGGTTCCAGCTGCATCTGCAGTCGTTAGCACCCGCCAATCCGCATTGGGCCCGCGTGGTGGGTCATGGCACTATCTCCCTATTCCATCCATAGGGAAGGCCTGTGCCCCAGCAGTGGGGACATTAATAGGCTGCTGATGATGATGATGGGGATGGATGTTTTCTCCCATTATTTTTATTAGTGTTTAGTAAACGGCCCATAGATAAATATTTTGTACTCTTCTATCCATACTGATGGATCAAACACGGATTCTTAGTACACAAACGTCATGCGATACGAACTCTTGGAATTTTCGAAAAAGAAAGACAATAATACATTTCAGCTATAGTACCTTCTTGATGAAAGTCGCCAGATGTTTAATCAGTGTACATATTACCTACCGAAGTGAATCTTGGCCTCTGAAACAAGATGACGCCATGCTTTGCGATCCCGCACTATATCCCGCCAGCAGTAGGCATCCAAAGACTGCAAGTCCTTCTGCACCTTCTCCAGCGATATCTGGGAGGTCCAACCGGTCGTCGCCTTCGGTCGCCCCAGATATGCTCTTTTCATGGGTCGATCCTTTCCCATCATTTTCGCATGTCCGAGCCATCGGAGTCTAGCTGCTTTTATCTCTCTTAGTGTCACCGCACACGGGCCACCGACCACAACCACAAAACGCCGCCACCGGCATATTTCTTGTAGTTTTCATACATTTTATATGGACTTGGCACACACGGTACGCCGGTGGCCGCCACACGCTACAAATCGTCGTTGCTCGCTTCTTGTGGCCCGCACCGGCCCATTAATGCGCCGATACAAAACGCCGCCCCACGTCACTCGCGTGATTCCCCACCCCTCTCTCCCTTACCTTAGTCGGCCGCTGTCGCGTGCTTCAGCCACTTTAGTAGCCGCTTTTAGCTTCTCGTGGCGGCGTTTGTGGTTGTGGCGTGTGGCCCGTGTGCGGCGACACTTATGATGTAAGGCTTCGACACTGATCTGTGTTACCCCCCTTGTTTGTTAACGCAGGCAAAATATATTTAAAGTTCAGCAAGACTTTAATGGCGTGGCGTTCAAGCAGCTCTGTTCTCGTAGGCTTGAAATTATTTTAAGCTTGTTTCATAGAGCAACACAGTAGGGAGTACCCATAGCGACATAATGTAAATCAAATCACTTTGTCATTTTCCGGGGGGGAGGGGATATGCATACAAACGCATTTTAATATACACGCATATATAAAGACAAAACTATACCTAATACACTCTCACATATACAATGACACAATACGGCACCAAATCCTACACATATGTATCGTTTGTATGTCCAACTCTACAGAGAGGAAAGATAGATAGATAGATAGATATATTCTTTATTGCACACACAAAAGAATACAAAAATAAGGAAACAATAACATAATGTGGGCAAAGGCGGCCTTATCGCTTTAAGCGATCTCTTCCAGACAACCTTTGCGGTAAAGGATAACTAAACGAAGAGGAAGTTGCAGTATGCCAGCAAGATAAAATAAAGAAATTTACATATTTTCTTAAACATATAAAGATTATATACAAATAAATAACATATATCTACACAAATATACACACTATATATACCATCACAAATAAACATATTATGCAATATTATATATTTATACATACAGCAGACTAGGATTTAAGTAAAAGAAAATCATGTAGTATATTTTTAAAAATGTTAAATGATTTAGCGTGACGGATTTTAGGCGGAAGCTTGTTCCAAAGCTGTGCAGCTTTAATCGTAAAGGGGTCCATATAATACTCAGAGCGGGTAAGAGGTATCTCTAACACATTATCGTGTATGCCTACTCCTCTCCTGGCCGCGTCGGCCGTGTTGCTCTATGCTTGTCAGAGTTGCCAGGTCTCCCGATTTTACAGAAGATCTTCTGCTTTTCTGAAATTCTCCTGTACTTCTGTTTCTCTACATGAATAATACTGTTTTTCTTAGAATACGATTTTCTTTTTTAAATTGCATGTTCAGTTGCGTTTGCCGCCATTAAGAATGTGGGTAACCTTGATAACAATAAATAAATGGTTATTGTCTAAAAAACGACAGAAGCCACAGAAACACATTTGTTACTGGCTTACGTCTTGATTTGATTTACCATTTGGGGGGAGGGCGGTGCAAATCGATAGAAGTACGCCTCTACATCTTCTTGTACCTCTTTCCATACATCTACTGTTATTTTCTATAACGCCTCCCGATTTTTAGAAATCGGACCTAGCATCACTGATGCTTGTTTTAATTCAGATATCCAGTTCAAATGGTACGAGCGTCGTCCGCCGGAGTCGGTGTGCAGCGCGGAGTGCGAGCTGGGACAGGCCAAGCAGTACGTGGAGGGAGAGAGCTGCTGCTGGCACTGTTTCAACTGCACGCAGTATGAGGTATGACCTTGTTAAACGACTGCTCAAAACAGAGTGTTTTTTTAATGTATAGTAGGCAAGGCGTTTGCGATGATGCGCGATGATGAGGCCTATGTTGTTACACGCCTGCCTGGAAGGTGCCTGTTCACAGTGTAATGTTTTGGGTTGTAGGAAGGCCAAAGGGGAAGATCTTCCTCCGAGCTGGGTGATGGTAGCTCGGGGGCCGCGGCCCGACTGATGTTGGTCGGGCATCGTATATATGAAGAGTTAGCCTCCGAATTTCATTTGCGTGATGTAGGCTTCCATACTATTAAGATCGCAGTGCAGGTAACGCCATCTCTTGAGGATGGTGAGTAATGATTTCCTCCATCCGTTGTATATATGTGGGGCATATAGATGTCGCCGCCACAGGATTATTCCACTAGTCCCCATTGTCTTACCCCATCAATGCGAGATTATGAACTTGGGTTATTCCACTTATCCCCATTGACTCGCCCCATCAATTGGGAATCGTGAACTTTTCTTTCACTCATCCCCATTATCAATTCCAAATAGCATCGAATAGTGCGTCAAACCTTACTAACTTTGCTGCAGTCTGAAAATACAACATGATGGAGTTAGATTAAGCAATACGCAAGTAATATTGTAAAATGTCACTTACATCTTTAAGTTATCTATAGCAGCCGCTGGCCGCTTACTATTAAACTTAACAATAAATATGTCAGCAATCTCATTTTCTATAGAACTTAGAATAATAACGCCTACAAACCGTGTTTGAATCAAAACAAGATCGGTTAATGCGTGCCGAATTCATTTTATTTTTTGCGTAAGTTAAATGTATCTACGCACAAAAATATATGATTTCAGTGTTGCCATCACCAGTCGCAAATCCACAAAATAGGGAAAGGTGCTGCTATGTAATAAGATACCTAAGTATTTGGCAGGAATTTCTGTGATTATGTTAATTCATTCATATATTTTACTAGCGGCCAGCCCTCGCTTCGTTTCGGTGTAGAGCTGAAGTGTAGACTACAGTTTTTGTTCTCAGGCTTGTATTATACACAATGACATTCATCTATGATTCTTCTTATACCTGCATGCAAAGTCTCAGCCCGATCGGTTAAAAGTTGACAAAGTTTCATACAAACTTTCATTCCCTATTTTATCCCCTTAGGGGTAGAATTGATCAAAATCCTTTCTTAGCGGATGCCTACGTCATAACATCTACCTGCATGCCAAATTTCAGCTCGATCCGTCCAGTGGTTCGGGTTGTGCGTTGATAGATCACTATGTCAGTCAGTCACCTTTGAGTTTTATATATATAGATAACAGAGGTAAAATTTCAAGAACAAAATCTCCCTAGCGAATCTTTATAGTATCAGGTACCCATTATCATAAGCATCCTTTTAATATAAAGTATAAATGTTTGATAGTGATTCCTTTCTTTCCTCAGATTCGTTCTCCGTACGTAGAAACAGCATGTATGGTTTGTCCGCGGGGCACGCTCCCGGACCCAACGCGGACTCACTGCCGACCCATCCCCGAGGCGTACTTGAGGCCGGACTCGGCCTGGGCCATCGGCGCGATGTCCTTCTCCTCAGTCGGGATATTGCTGACCGCGTAAGTTATTTCTGTTTTAAGTAAAACCTAATCGCTATTGGAAAAGGTTATTGGACAGTACAAAAAAATAAAGTACCAATTATTATTGGCATGTGTATTTAACATGAAAACTGGTTGCGATTACACTATTCTGACCAAAAAAAAACAGCTGAGCCGGCCCCCTCAGGTTCTAGTGGTCTAGAGGTTCCAGACGGAGAGGAGACTCCCCCCGGCATACTCAGGTATGCCATCCGCCTGGAATACCTCTAGAGGCACTCGCCAATTCTTGGCTTGAGGTCCCCTTGCCGTCCCCAAACCGGTGAAACTGTAAGGGTCATCTGAGACCGGCAAAAACACACTCACAAAAATGATAAATACTTTTTTGCAGATTCGTCTGCGGTGTCTGGGTCCGCCACAGCTCAACGCCAGTGGTGCGTGCGAGCGGGAGAGAGTTATCTTACGTCCTGCTCGCCGGAATACTAATGTGCTACCTGGTGACCTTCGCTCTCGTGTTTAGACCGACTGATATTCTTTGCTCAATACAAAGGTAAGATCTTTAAAATTAAATTAATAATAAACAGCCTGTTTGTAAGAGTGATGTGAAGTTTCTGCAATGAAAACAATTAACGCACTATTATTTCAAACGAATAAGTCCTTGATGACTTTTTAATTGGTAAGCGTTGTTTTTAAAGTTCTGGGTGTTAAAGAGCTTGATGGCGCAAGTGGTTAGCGCGTTCAGCTGCGATCGTTGACGTAAAGCAACTTTCTCAGTGGGCGGTCATTGAATGGGTGACCAAAAATTTAATATCTCGAGCTCCTCCGTGCTTCGGAAGGCACGTTAAGGCGTTGGTCCCGGCTGCAGCTACAATCATTATTACCCGCTAATCCAAACTGGGCCCGCGTGGAGGATCATGACCCAATTCCATCCAAAGGGAAGGAAAATATCTAAGGTATTTATTAGAACCTTGAACATTAGGCCCTACCAGAATATCAGCGACGCAGCGGCCTTGGTGTCGTTGTGGCATTGTGCTGAGGCAGGGACCTAGTTGACCTTATTCTGTGTCTTTATTTATACTTTTATTTTTATTTGTCAATGTTATCTTATATATAAAATTCTCGTGTCACAATGTTAATTACCATACTCCTCCGAATCGGCCTGACCGATTTTTATGAAATTTTATATGCATATTCCGTGGGTCTGAGAATCGGCTACTATCTATTTTTCATATCCTTAAGTGATAATGGTTATCCACCTGTAATGTAGTGTTCTGAAACCTACAATGCGCCTTCGCGCCGAAATTCAAACTATTGGGTATTGTAACGTAGTGTTCTCATATGGGTTAGGAGGAATGTTATCCTAGGCAATTGATAGAACACTACGTTAGATACCCCTAAAATTGTTTTTGGATAATATTTATTTTTTTATAATGTGGTATAAAAAATAAATGCAACCCTAAATTTTCTCTTCTACCACCTGCCCCTATTTTTATGGCTGTACGAAGTTCGCTGGGTCAGCTAGTTTGTCTATAAAATATTTCTTTCGTTCTTTCTTGAACAAATTAGTGAAGCATCGCTATCGCTATGTAATAACATAGTCTACCTCCCTGGGCTTATAAGAAAATCTCTATGAATGGAAGTCGTAAAAGGGGGAATAAATCTGCCTCGGTAATCGGGCCGAGATAATGCAGTAATAAAACCCTGGGGAAGGCTCTGGAAGAGTCTGGGAAAAGATTGGAGCTTCCATTCGGAAAGGGTTACGGCGTAATTCTGATTGGTCATTATGCGAGAAGCGTTTGTTTCGAGATAGTGTACGCGAGAACGGTAGAATGTCATGAAACTATATAGGTACTTATTAGTTTTCATTTGGACTCTCATAGTTACCAGAAGGGAAGTGAAAATGTGTTCCACTAGTGGGTGCATGCGACTATGTCTGCGTGGAAGAAATTGTTTCCCATGCAAACTTTGCCCCTAAATTTTTCATCAATAAAATTCAAAATTCAATATCGTTTATTCAGTCTAGGCTGTTACAAGCACTTGTGAATGTCGAAAAGCTACGCCATCAGTTCGCAAATCTACGGCGGGAGACCTTGTACTGAGAAGAACCGGCAAGAAACCCAGCAAGGGCTGTTTTTTTCTCCCTGTTTTATTTCATACAGTGTCGTCCAATTGAAACTTGACATCAAACTTGCAAACATGTGTTGAGGTCAACTTCCATCATATAATGTCAAATATGTAACAATAGACAATCAACGAATTTACTAACAATAAGTGCAAAGAAAAGTTCCAAAATAGCAAGAAACAATTTTCAAAACAAAATGAACAAGTATATGAAAGGGAGTAAGTGCAAGGTTCTCTTCAAAACTCTTTCTAAGGCTGGGAGCCTCAGTTTTAATATAACTTTTGAAAAATTATCTACAGGTAAAATTACAACCAGGCCATTTTATCATTCAAATATTGATTGATAGTATAATATCGTTTCTTATGTAAGCAATTCTTAATGTGTATTTTAAATTTATGAGGAGGCAAATCAAGGATATCATTAGGAATCTTATTATAGAAATGTATACCTTGACCCATAAATGATTTATGAACCTTCTGTAACCTGTAATTTGGTATCTTGAGTTTATTTTTATTCCTTGTATTAAAAGAATGTATGTCACTGTGTTTGAGATAACAGTTAATATTGCTTCGAACAAAAAGTTTAAAAAGTATAAAATAATAAATGCATTGTGAAATCCCATTAAGGGAATATTTCGGGGATAAAAACTATCCTTTATCCTTTCCCGGAACTCATACTACCTTCACGTTTAAGCGTGAAAAGGTAACCGAAAGACAGACAGTCAGAAAGACTGCCGCACAATAATATTTTAAATAAAACGTAAAGTTTCAACGTTATTGATGTATTGATTTATTTATTTATTCATGTATTGCATCCTTTTCAGGATGCGTCGAGCTACCTTCGAAAGACTTTTTTTGAACGTTCTTAGCTCGACAAAGTAAATAAAATCATAATTCAGACGACGCAGCCTGAAAAGAATGCGAAACGTCAATTAATAAATAAATCAGTGTATCTATACCGTTGAAACTTGTTTTATTTAATGAGTGGTGTGCGTGAAAACCCAAGAAACAAATAATATTTAAGTTTTAGTAGGTACCTAAGTTAATATGCAGTCGCTTTTATGTGTACCTTACTAACTTGACAATGTACAATCTCAGCAACATTCATTATCGAGAGGAAGACAGATGTAGAGTTAACAAATAATATTTTAGCTTTAGTAGGTACCTAAGTTAATATACTATCGCTTTTATGTGAACCTTACAAACTTGACAATGTACATTCTCAGCAACATTCATTATCGAGAGGTAGACAGATGTAGAGTTAACAAATAATATTTTAGCTTTAGTAGGTACCTAAGTTAATATACTGTCGCTTTTATGTGAACCTTACAAATTTGACAATACATTCTCAGCAACATTCATTATCGAGAGGTAGACAGATGTAGAGTTTTTAATTATTGACGCAAATCACAGAGCAAATGACATCGTTATGGAAATGACTGTTTAAAATGGATGAAGAATCTCGTGTCTTCAGACCCCTTTTTCCCAGTGGGCACTTTGGGCAAGTGCCCAGGACCCCGCGATCGATAGGGCCTTGCCTCAGATCAAATACAAAGTCCCTAGTTCCAGTCAGTTCACCAAACGCTTACCAGTATTTATTACCAAAAAGCTTATACATATAATTCGATGAAATCTAACCTAAATTACTGACTACAATACCAACTTACTAGCTTTTACATAAGCGAAGCTATACTATTGTCGCCCAAAAATTAGGCTTTCCGACTTCAGCATGCTTAGATAAATTTAAATATACATATAATGGTATACTAAGCACATACACATTTTAAAGAAAAATCATCAGTAGTACACTCGTCAGTATGACTCGCAACATTTCAAGTCTTAATCCACACCAAAGTCATAGGGGCCTCCAATAGGTTAAAAGACGGCCCTGCGTGTCTTTTTATGTCTACGATTAAAAACTATTCAAACAGTCCCATTTTCATACCTATACTTAAATTAGTGTTGATATTTATCTAATTATATTTTTTGTCATATTGAACAATCGCCTGAAATAAAGGGATCATAATTATTATTAAAGTCTTGACGACGAGATAAAGTAAACGAAATTCTATTTAGTCCGTCAGTTAGTTGATCAAAAAATAATGGACACGTATTTTTTCTTTGGGCAATCAACCAAAAAATGACAAAGATAAAGCGCGTCAAAGTTTGGGAGTAGGGGCTCGTGACGTCACTTTTAAGTGAAAATTGTACCAAAACGTGACGTCATGCGACCTTTCAAATCAATATATCTTTGCAATGTTTATATTATGTGAAAAAAGAAAAAATACGTGTCCAATACTTTTTGATAATCTACCTGTTAAACGAAGAAAAAAAAAATAGTCATCATCCCTATTATATAGTTCATCCCTATTAGTTAGCTCGTAGTCTGGGCCAAATGCCTTAAATGTTTACTGCTTGGGTTGGCATGGTGATTGTTTCACTAAACCAGATTGTGGATTCGTTTCAGGTTCGGCACTGGCTTCTGCTTCACCGTGGTATACGCCGCCCTGCTGACCAAGACCAACAGGATCTCGCGCATATTCAACGCCAGCAAGCATTCCGCTAAGAGACCAATACTCATATCGCCGAGCTCACAACTAGCCATATGTGCTGCACTTGTGTCTATACAGGTACATTTTTTTTCTCTTTTTATTACGCAGGTAAAACATCTATTTATTGTAGAAATTTAATTTAAAAAAATATTTTTTAGGCTATACTTTTTAAACACTAAAAACGCTGTTCGCCACATCCGCCATGATTGTGACGTCTCTTTGGTAGTAAACAACTAAATGTCATTCATACATAACCTTAAAACTTGTATTATTGAAACTGATAAGAAATGAAGAGGCTTAAAATATATTTCAATGAGTACTTACATCAGTGATCTTCGCAATAATAAATTTTACTATGAGTCGATAAAGTTGCAGGATCCCTTTTAGCAAGTTTTAACCAGGTATTGTGTAGGCTAATTTCTTTCAGCACTTTAATCCACAACTTTCCTGGAGTCTTCAAGGATGTGTTTTTACATTCTCGTACAATACAATAATGATAATTACTATATTTTTCGTGATTATTTTCTACGTGCTTACGAGTTTTTGTTTTCCACCCTGTTGACGTCATAGCATAGATATAATCTATAGACTAAAATGGCCGACAGCGTTTTTGTATGTCCATGAAAAGTCTATTTTAAAATTAAAGATTTGGAGCTTTCTAGGTCCCATAAAAATACAATACATTTTTTTCGGTCTAATAGAATATTTATTAACCATTTAAAACCTTTTTCCAAAAAGGGTCAACTAGCCTATTACTTTAAAACTATACTTAGGAATGAAATGACAACTTTTTCTTGTGTCTAATAGATCCTGTGTAATTTGCGCATCTAAAACACACATAGGGCTTTTTGTTTAGAAAATCGTAAAATATTTACACGGTGCAGCGAAGTGTAGTCACGGCGTGAGAGCGTGCCCGACTAATTGCAAATTCGTATTGCCAAATTCAGAATGTTATCAATTTAATCGTGATAGGTGAATCTTGGCCTTCCCCGGCTTCTGCATCCTTTGCATCAAACATGATTCGAACCTGCACCTTCTGCTATCTGGGTGGACGCACAAACCAACTATGTTACCGAGAACTAAATATTTATCATCAGCCGATTAATGTCCCCACTGCTGGAGCACAGGCCTTCCCTATGGATGGAATAGGTAGATTGGGCCATGACCCACCACGCGGGCCCAGTGCGGATTGGCGGGTGCTAACGACTGCAGATGCAGCCGGGACCAACGGCTTAACGCGCCTTCCGAAGCGCGGAGGAACTCGACATAGATAATTTTGGGTCACCCATCCAATAACAGACCACTTCGAAAGTTGCTTAGACCTAAATATTACTAGCTTTCAATCACGACCTCGTCTCTTCCTTAATTTCACTTCACTTTCATTTTTTTCCATAAGAGCATTCTACAATTTTTTTTGAGTGAATTTTCACTTATAAGTGTACTCAAACGTAACATCATGCGACTTTTCAAATCAATATATCTCTGCAATGTTTATATTATGTGAAAAAAGAAAAAATACGTGTCAAATACTTTTTGATAATCTACCTGATAAACGAAGAAAAAAAAATTTGTCATCATCCCTATTATGATGATTTATTGGTTCCAGGTACTAATAGTGGTGGTGTGGATGATAGTGGCGCCAGCTCGCGCCATGTTCCACTACCCAACGCGCGAGGACAACATGCTCGTGTGCGACTCGTACGTCGACGCGTCGTACATGATCGCCTTCTTTTACCCCATCGTGCTGATCCTTGTATGCACGGTGTACGCTGTGCTAACAAGGAAAATACCAGAGGCATTCAACGAGAGCAAGCATATAGGTGAGAATTAAATTTATTGTAGTGGTCGATTAAATGTAGACGCCGTCTTCCATTACCTTACACGCGAGGACATCATGCTCGTGTACGATTCCTACATCGACGCGTCGTACATGATCGCCTTCTTTTACCCCATCGTGCTGATCCTTGTATGCACGGTGTACGCTGTGCTAACAAGGAAAATACCAGAGGCATTCAACGAGAGCAAGCATATAGGTGAGAATTAAATTTATTGTAGTGGTCGATTAAATGTAGACGCCGTCTTCCATTACCTTACACGCGAGGACATCATGCTCGTGTACGACTCCTACATCGACGCGTCGTACATGATCGCCTTTTTCTACTCCATCATGCTGATTCTTATATGCACGGTGTACGCTGTTTTTACAAGGAAGATATCGGAGGCTTTTGACGAGAGCGAACATATCGATGAGCATCAAAGTTTATTCTGTTGTTTGATGTCCGCCCAAAACCGTATTTTGGGCTTTTAATGAGAGCAAGCATATAGATGAGTATTTGATTTTAATCTAGTGGTCGCTTAGAAGTACCTAGTCACCATGATCCATTACCTGAAGCGCGAGGACAGCATGCTCGTGTGTGACTTGTACGTCGACGCTTCCTTCATGGTCGCCTTCTTCTATCCAATCGTGCTGAGCCTTCCATGCACGGTGTACGCCGTGATTACTGGGAAGATATCGGAGGATTTTAACGAGAGCAAACATATAGAATAGAATAGAAATAAATTTATTAGCCTTAAACACATTCAGATTTACATAACTAAAACAAGACAAAATAGGCCAACTAGGTCCCTACCTCAGCTTAATACTACAGCAACACCAGGACTACTGCAGCGCTGATAATTCTGGCAGGACCTAACCCAATATCGGTGAGCATCAACGTTTATTCTGTTGTTTGATGTCCGCACAAAACCGTATTTAGGGGGACAGATCGAGCGTCAATCCCTACGGTAATGGAAGCAACCTGTCTACAAGCTCGATGTACCCATTTTATGTTTTTGTTAGTTGCCATGTACAACATATGCCATTTTCTTATTTAAGTACCTATTTAAGAAAGTGGTTAATAAAAGTCTACCCGCTCGTTTCAATTTTTTCAGAGTGGTCATGATCACGATAAGGCATCTGAGGATGTAAAAGAGTGTATTTCGTCTTACGATTTCCCACCATCTTGCTCTATTCGTGGACTGCTGGTGTATTCATTAATAGGGTCAATAATAGGGTATTTGACAGTATTAAAAATAAAGTGCCAATTGTTAGCATCTGTGTTTAGAATAAATATTGGCAGGGGTTTTTACTATTTTTACAAAAAAAAATATTCATAATTTTACTAAAACACATGAAAAAGATAATAGTTTTCTTATCTATTGTCACGTGACCCAAAACGCCTGGGATTGGCGGAGCCTAAAATGACATCACACGCAAGTAAACTTTAGGTTTAAGTGACATGACATTGTATCGTTTGACGTTTTAATAACAGTCGTGTGACGTTACACACTAGTAAGACGCCATATTGTACAGAGAAGTGTTTTCACGGCAACTTGAAAATGGATTTTTTGATTTGGTTATTTTTACTGAAATACAGAACAGAATGATGAATATCCACTTTTTACGGACTCCATAAAATTAGTCAATAACGTGAGATCGAAAACTTGTCAAATACCCTATTACAAAGGAGGACGGGCATTTTGGTATCCAATTGGTGTTTGGTATCAATAGCGATGAGTGATATATCATTGAATACCTCTTTTCATGTAGAATATTAGTTACTATGGCGGCATTCTGATATTTGTGTGTTGCTGTCCGTTTTTATTTTTTCCAGAAAATACCAGAACCATTTTTACCGGAACCGTTATTACCATTATTACTACATTATTATACTTACCGAATAATAATTATAATATTATAATTCAACATTATTGTACATGTCTAACCGGTAGACGTACCACAGGAACTTGTGCTCACATTTATAGGCTATGCCAGGCACGCCGGATTCGTCGCTCCTGCACTGTTCCTAAATGACATCCTTATTAAAAATAATGAATAAAGTAATTACTCCAAAATGTGTTTCTTTCACTCTGCCTCTGGATAACTGCATACATAAAAAAATAAATGAATAAAAACATAATGTACCAACAAAGATTAATATTTAAAATCTATTTTTGTTATTTTATTTTTGTTAAAAAAGTTTTTTATTAAGTGTTCTAGGGTTATTTTTCATTGGGGGGGGGGGGGCGGGCCCTGACATTGAAGAGTCATCTGAAGTTAGTGATTAGTATTATAGAATTTCGAATCGGTAGTCCAACATCCTGGGGCGGGCACAAGACCGTCCTGGAGTGGGCACGGCCCACTCGCCCCCCCCCCCCCCCCCCCCCCTCTATATACACCTATGGTTACCGTTCAAGATAACAAGCTAGTTATTGTTTTTTTTATTATGTTTTTTTATCATTTTCTTTTATTAACGTTCTCGTTAAAGATAAACATTAAATAGTTCTCAGGAGGTTGTATTGTTACTAAGTCGGAAGGCCACTGGTATCTGCAATACTTTTTTTTTAAACTATTGCAGATATCAACGCTCTAACCTAATGCCTATTGTTAATACTTACAACACTGCTAAAATAATGTAAATACTAAAATGTATAACAATTTATAAAGAAAAACTTTTTTTTATTATTTATTATATAACTCTGTTTCGACAACGTATCAGGGCAAGCGCCATAGTAGACATTATTGTATTCAAGTAGACCTTTCAAATGTAATGTAACACATCTCTATTGGAACGAATACCAAGTTCCATAGATTTTTGCCCATCATCCTTTGGAAAAGTGCTTTAATGGAAACATGTAATCTATACTCACTTTAGTAAGATGCTGATTGCTTTTAAACTAGAACTCCGTGGACATTGGCTATTACAGTGCCACCAACGAAAGAATCCTAGCAGGTCGTGTCATAATTTTAAGGTGACAGAATTACAGTTTAATATACTTTAGTCTGCTGGCATAAGAAACTGGCATGACAGTCGGGATCGCATTCTTTTGTTGGCCGAGCTGCACATAATCCGCTTTATAACAAAACTCACTCTCACAAAACCCACTATGACTAAAGTTAAACCTGGACTGAAACTGATGCTGGCACTTTTGTTTGCTAAAAAGAAGACAGAGACAAAATTAGGTTTAAAGTATTCAGTCCGCGTTTTGGAAGAACGTATTAAATCTTTGCTTTATTTCGCAGGGTTCACGATGTACACGACATGCGTGATCTGGCTGGCGTTCGTGCCGCTGTACTTCGGCACCGCGTCGCACGTGCCCCTGCGCGTCACCAGCATGGCCGTCACCATCTCCCTCAGCGCCAGTGTCACGCTCGTGTGCCTGTTCTCCCCCAAGGTAATGAGGAGTTCTAGCCAGAGTGGATAGAACTCAGGGGCGTAGGAATTTATTGAAACAACTTCACGATGGTTATTATTTTATATTAGATTTCAGGCGAATATAATTATTTTTATCTAAGCTACGAAAGGGTTGGTGCCTGAAGATCGTCTCTTGTATGGAACCTAGTATCAAAAAGACAGACGATTCCTTATTTCAAATCTTAAAATCATGACATTAACTTTTTAATATAACTGCCAACCGGCGGCATTGCAAGAGCAAAGAGTTTACCTAAACAAGGAGGCTGTAACGTAACGGACGTTACAGTAACCACCCCTCCATCAGTCAGCGCCATGGCCGTCATCATATCCCTTTTTTGTTCTTAAGTTATTTAGAGGCTTTTCATTCTACGTCTCCTCAGCCTCATCGTACCATAACCAAAACATACACAACAAATTTCATTTAAAACATTGGAGAGGGCGAGCTTTTCTTATTAGCGAAAACCATGTCAAACATCGACTTTGCTGCGTCAGAGTTTGATAGTGCTAATATTTCCGTAAAGGAACGTATATTCCCAAAGTTAAGTTGATATTGTTGTATGAATAGCTCTCTTTCTCTCTCTTTATTCTTCACACATTCCATTAAAATCTGTTGGACATCGTCCACTTTTTTACATAATTCACAATGAGGGCTACCGTTTTCTGTCTCACCAGATGGCGCCACTATTGAGTGAGGTCCTAAATTGTAACTTTTAAAGTTTATTAATACGCACATGAAATCAAAGGTTACATTTAGATTGTATTTTAACACAAAAGAACCATATCCTAAACATAATAGGCCATGCCACAGTGACGCCCAGTTCCGTTTTATTCGGAAAAAATGGGAACATAATCATTTTTCTAAGCTCAAATTTTTAATAACTGACATTCATTGCCACATAACTCATATTTGCCATAATTAAGCCGAATTGTTACCAATTATTCACAACATTATTTTAATAAGAAATAAACCCGCGTAGTCAACCAACAAGCAATAACATTTGACATTTCGGAGACCTCACGCTACACTAGCGCCTCTAGCGGCGGATTCATACGCGATAGCCCTAATTGGGGGAATCAGACCATATCATATTAATCTTTCATGATCGCTAAATTATAGTAATTGGCGTGACTGATACGATATAAGCACGTACCTTGTTTTTTATGAGTCCCCGATATTTTGACAAGGTTGCAAGCGCTATAATATCTCCATAATATCGGGGACTTACACAAGGTAACCATAGTTATAATCCTGCTAAATATTTTAAAATACCTCTACCACACTTGCTGAAAGTTTCGTCTTTGATCACGATAAACGCAAGTATGGAAAATAATTAGTGGATATTTGTTTCTTAGGTTTTCACGCACATCACTAATTAAATAAAACTAGTTTTTACTAGTTTCTAGTTTTTAGAATTGAATTCTGACGACGTAGCCTGTAAAGGCTACGAAACGTCAATAAATAAGTAAAGTTTCGTGCATTAACCCGTAAAAACTAGTTTTATTTAAATAGTGGATATTGTAACGAACTATCGAGTTGTGTGATATGGATTCTACACGATAGCTTGAGTGTCGGTTTTTCTATACACATCAAAGGGTTTTGGGAGACGAAATTTATTTGCGAGTGAAGGAGGAGGAAGAGCCCGACGGCGCTGGTTAATAGCGCGTTCGGCCTGCGATCGTGAAAGTTAAGCATCTTTCGCAATGGTCGGTCATTGGATGGGTGACAACGAACTTATTATCATGATTCTTAGGTTTCCACGCACATTACTCAGTTTACCGAGTTAAGGTCAAATAAAAAACCGCAACGATGCAACGCGATAACTGCAACATGGTCTTCTTTAAGCGTCCACTCCATATTTAAAAATGAGTAAAATTCTAAAAGTATATATTTTTATTTTCACGAACAATTCGAAATTCGAATTCGATAAACTTTTTTTTGGCCAGCATTCTAAAAGAAAAGTTTTTACAGTGTGACAATACTTATGACCTGACTGTGTACTTAATCGTTGCCAGTTGTATATAATCCTGATCCGGCCGGAGCGCAACGTGCGGCAGAGCATCATGCCGGTGCGCTACAGCCGCAAGCCGCCGCCGCACCACGCGCCGCCGCCCGCGCAGACCAAAAGTGAGCTTAAACGACCCGCTACATATTATTTATTTATTTAATCTTTATTGCCTTTACACTGAAAATGGCGGACTTAATGCCAATATGGCATTCTCTACCAGTCAACCGGAAAGAACATACAGAGCTATAAAAAACTGCAGAATCAAAGAAGAGATATTAAAATCAAACAATGAGCAAATATACTAACACTTAACTATACATATAACCATACTTATATAAATATACACACAAACACTATACATAAACAAATATATATATATATATATATATACATACATACACATATACCCATAACACATATACTTTGTCGGATTACAGTATTCTGATTGTGGTTAAGCATTATGCAATTGCTTAAGGTAGTGTTCCCGCGCCAAAGTCTTAAACACAATCCTGCTTGGAGCGGTACGCACGTTCAAAGGAAGTGCATTCCAGAGCCGAACGGCAGTAACGGTAAAAGAGTTTGAGACAAACCTAGAGTGGTGAATGGGTACATTGAGTATCAGATTATTAATGGACCGAAGATTTAATATATGAGAAGAATGATATAATTATGACCGCCATAGACATATATTTATTTATATGTGTATGTTTACGTATGGTTATATGAGTATTTTATATTATGTGCATCAATTTGTATTTAAGTCTTAATATAATTAGTTATTGCTGTTATTTTGATATTGTTCATTTTATTTAATTTTTAGCAACTTTGCTCTATCGCCATACTATTTGTCTCCAACAATCATACTGGTTGACTGATAGAGAATGCCTATGGCATTAAGTCCGCCGTTTGCTTATGTTTGGCAATAAAGTTTAAATAACAAAAAAAATAAAAAAAAAAATAGACTTTTAAGTAATTTTGATCAAACAAACTAGTTCAAACAGTTTGATCAAATTATATTTGATCAAAATACCAATCATCATGAACAAATATAATTTCTTGAATGTCTAAGACGGCTATTAATCTTCTTACCCAAAAAAGTTCCTCATGCTCACGAGGTGGTAGTGAGCTAAGGTCGGCTTCGAACCGGGTCTATATCCCGTCGTGTCGCATACAAGACTGAGAAGTAGACCTGGTTTGACGCTGGCTTTGGCTCCGGCGAGAAAACATCTCGTGGGATTGAGCCGTAACGGTTGTAGTACAAAAAAGTGAATATGTCTTCAACACGAGCTTAAGAAAAAAATCAGTTGCAAACCCAAAAATGAGGTTAGGTTGATAGATTTTCGTCCGAGTTACCAATACAGTAAAGAACTGCCCTCTTAGTGCTGACTAACATTTGAAATAAAAATAAAATAGTACAATTTTCTTTAGCATAATGATTCTTTGAATAATTTTGTTTTTTTTTTGTATATCAGAAAGTCCATGTGCCGATAAAGAAACTCAAACCGAAGCAGCTGACTTCAATAAACTTACAAATGGGCAAACAATTCAGAGGGTTCCAGATAATGTTCCAGATAGTGTTGACGACAGCACGAATGTTAAAGAAGAAAAAGAATCCAAACCTTTATGTAACAATATAACACTTGGTAGTAATAATCACAATGATAATGTAAAAGTAGTTAATAATCCAAATGATAAAATTATAAATGTAAATATAACTAATGAGAAATGTGACACATTATAGCAACGACACTCTTCTAAATCGTATAATGGAGTATACAGAAACGCCAAAAATAATAATAGTCTAAGAAAGAAAAGTTGTCCTTGTAAATTCAAAGAAAGAACGCCGGTAATCGTTTAAATTTGAGTGATATAGCTTGTAATGTAATACAAATATATTCATTAGTACTTCATGGTAATTCTTGAATATCAATTGTATTTTCTTCTTTAACAGATTAAACCTAATTATGAATCGCTTTGTACTAAAAAGCTTTGGCCATCTTCCATTTCTCTTCGATGACAGCACTGTATATATTGCGTAAATCATTTTTGCACAAACATAATTGAATTTATTGATCCAAACACTTATCTCCATTGTACAGAAAATTTGTAAATACGTACCTACTGCAAAGACAGATAGTGATGTGTATTGTAAATAAAGTTGTATTCAATAGTATTAACATAAAGTTTGGTATAACGAATATCATTAACGAAATTATATTGGTAAGCGATTTTATTATGATTAATATCTTGAACATGCACAGGGCGTAGCTTTGAGCCTGGACAGTTGTGACAGAAGATTTTAAGTACATTGTAAGGTTTATATTTTCGAGACTGCTACTGCGTGTATTGATGAAAATAGTAAAGAAAATATTAAAAGACAGTTTAAGCGACGTTGTTTCTAGGGATCGACTGAAACTTTATCATTAACATTATACAATTAGGCTATTGATACAGAATCAGTTGTTGATTGTTACTGATTAAGCACATCATTAAATTCATGTGGGATTATTTATTTAGTGTTTAATTTAGAAATAATTTTATCAATATTCCATATGAAATTAATGGTGGTTGAACTCTTAACAAACAAATCATTAATATCAGGCCTATTTATATCATATTGTAGGGGCCTATGGTTGGAATAAGGATAATTGAGAATGTGTAAAATAGATAAATATAAATCAGTCAGTAGGTCTGAATAATACGCAACTTAAAAAGTAAATGGCATAATATTGTATTTTTCATTGTTATTTAAAAACGAATTTATTTAAGAGTATACTAAATTTTCAAATTAAATGGCTTATTTATTATGTGAATAGATAGCAAAATAGTTAGGATAGGAACAATCACTTTATCTCTTGACCAGACAATGAAAATAACATTTTTGTGCTAACCAAATAGGTATGACTGACTTTTTTTATTTCAGTCTGAATAGGTACACGACAGGTGAACACATTTCTCTAATTGATTTAACTTTCCAATTCCGATTATGATTAACAATTAAATTATGGAATGATTTTTCTCCTGTTTTCGTTTTGTTCATTTTCAAGAAGTGTGTGTCATCTTACAGAATCAACTGATGTTATTTACCTAGAATTCTCAATATTACATTGTTTCATCTGTAATAATGTTTATGCCTAAATTCACAAGTCAAACTTCCTTATCATAAATATCTTTTGACAAAATATAGGTAACACGAACTTATTAATAAATTAATTCTAAGAAATATAAAATCTAACAGAACTCGGTGTAGTTTCATACTGAGTCGACAACACTTCAGGATTTTATTAAAACTGTAACTGTTTACCCAAGTTGTTTAAGCATTATGTAGCTTTTAAGAAGATGGAGTTAAATTCGACAGTTTATAGTCCTGTTGACACTGCTCTCACATTTATCATTGTAACATTATTGTAGTCTTCCTATATTGTACATAATGTAGACTTATATCAACGATATTGTAAATAATAATAATACTCGTTAAAGTTTTCGATCATTCCCAATGATGTCTTTAGTATATTTATCTAAGTAAATGTATCTTAATATCAATATAAGTATTATTTATAATGTAAAGGATATTTGTTAATGTCACCACTGTCTTTTGCTCGCCCTGTGAATGTTTCCAAATGATACTGATAACTATTAGAGATATGGATATTTATGAAAATAAACTGTTTTGATGTTAACATTATGTTTTTCATTATCCATTACACTTACACGATCGATCCCTTCATTAATCCCACGATGCTAAATAGGGATTAACTCGAGCATCTTTGGGACCTGTAGTGCAATTCTGTAAAACCCATAATCTCATCTCACTGTGTGTATCGGATCCGTTTTGCTTTCGTTCTCTAGGTTTCGCTTCACGGAATTTTCGCATTCTGTAACCAATTGTACAAGCAAGTGAAGCGAGATGTCATTTATATCCTAAGTAATTTGTAGTGTTACCATTTTAAAAGTTTTTGGTAAATCGAGATGTATCGACTTAGTTATTATGCGTGAAAAAAAGCACGTAAATTTATTTTTTAGATATATTTGTAGATATGAGGCTCAAGTCTAAAGTTTTAATGAATGTAAAGTTAAAATAGTCTTATTTTTAAAGTTTGGTAACTTGGACGAATGAGGGCTTACTCTATGCACATCTCTGTAATCGAGTGAAAATCGACGCTAGCGCTACTAAGTGAGAGTGGCGGTTTAGTAAACTATCACAGGTGAGACCATATCATACCTAAATGGCTTTGACGTTTCAATGGCATTCTGTAACGAATTTCAGCGCTTGTTTACACCTCACATTAAAAACCGCACTCGAAAGTAACTGTCAAAATAAAAGTTACTCATTAGCTGCGGTAATAGAAGTGATTGTGCGAAGTGAGTATTTTTGTAGACTATTATCATCATAAAACAACGTTGCTTTTGTTTATTTAAGTAATAATTCTTTAAAATTATGTCTATCTAGTATTTCAGATGACTCACTCTCCATTAAATACAATAAATATTTCCAACACTCACACCAATCAGTCTAGCCCCAAAGTAAGCACTGTAAGGCTTGTGTTATGGAATACTAGGGTAACGGATAGAATACATATACTGTACTTATATAAGTATATTTATATAGAAATACATATTAAACATCCATGATTAAAGTGCAAATGCTCGTTTTCATCACACAAACATCTGCCTTCACCGGGATTCGAACCCGGGACCTCTCGAGTCGGCGACACCATGAAACCCGGCGTACAAACCACTCGGCCACTGAGGTCGCCAATTACCTGCTTTTTACTAAAGAAAGCCCATGCATGATGTAGATTTGGCCAGATGCCGCCGACAAGCCCATTTCTGTGTAACCTTGAATAATTTCATTTTAAAATGACTAAACAAGTAGATACGGCACGTTCATTCTAGCATCAAAGAAAATATGATCCGACTCAACTACATAAGCAACTCTCACACACGCAGAAGTCTGTTTATAAACATTCAATCGAGCGAGCGAGGCAGAACTATACGCTGCAACGCGGCAGCGTATTGCTGTCCTTTTCTTAATACAAAATGGCGATTACGTTTAAAACATTTACGACAAACCGTGATTTTTGAGAAAAAGATATAGTTTTACGAATGAAAAGTATTGCCTAGGCATTTGCTATTTGATTTTGAACTGTTTGTGTTCTTTAGAAAAGCATCGAAGGCATTGTTTTATATTTATAACAGAGACTATCTATACGCAATATTGATATATTGAGTGCACATGCAGCGTCCAATTGTCACTACTACAGCGAATTATATTATAGTCATCAAGCACCACAATATGCGGATCACTTTTAAGCCGCGAGTGCCGTATCTTCCCTTTTTGTTTTAACCTAAGCTAAATAAAGATTTGATTCAACAATTGGAAAATGATTATAGTCTTCATATAGAAACCAAGTTTAAAGGAAAAGGATTATCCAATAGAAGTAAAGTACCTAATTGCATAACAAAAATAAACCCAAGAAACTTTTTATAGGTAACAATGTTAAAAGAATAAAAAGTTGTGTACACTTTTATTTGTGCAAATGTTAGTTACCAAGGATAATATAGGAAGCAGTAAGTAAATTTTCTTTCACTACAATAAAACAAATACTTGGGCAAATAGGTATACAAAAATAATAAATAAAGATAAATATTACTTAAAATTCAAGTCGAACAGTGTTTCTTAAATTTTTAAATATGAGTTTGTTGCTAAGAATATTGTATGTAGGTAATAAAATTTTTATTTGTAGTTTATTAACATTATCTAATACTTTAGTAGTAAATGCTAACAGAGCTATTTAGGCCACTATTTAACTTTGGCTTAGACCACTTTACCTTTAAAAATATTTTCAAGAAATATCTTTTTCTGGAGTTATTTCAATAAATACTTTTGTTACAGATTTTTGGAGAAATTTAAAATGCCTGCAACTGTTGGTAGTATAGAATGTACCTTTATCACCATAATAAGACCAAAAGAAACTTTAGTAAAAAGCATAAGGCAACGGTGTTATAGTTAATGTAAATTGAATAAATATATTTTGATTTAAAAAATAGCCACTCATATTTTTAACCCTTCACCACAGTAAACTACAAAAGTAATGATTTTATTGAACTATTTCATCATCAGCCTATTGCTGCCCCCACTATTGAGGCAGATGGAATAGGGAGACTGGCCGTGACTCACCTAGTCCGTACTGATCAGTGCTAAGGACTGCAGATGCAGCTGGGACCAATGGATTGATGTGTCATCTGAAGCACGGAGAAGCTCGAGATTATAAATTTTTGGTCACCCATCCAACAACCAAAAGTTGCCTAACTTTCATGATTGCAGGATGAATACTGTAACTACCTGCGTCTCTGGGCTCCTCTTATTTTGAATTGAACTATTTAAATCTGTTGTACACTAAAACTATAACTATTTAAGAATAAGTTTCTGTGTAGTTCCTATATTTAATATATATATATACCTACTTAATTAAAAATGTTAAATAATATAGAGCGGTGAGTCACGTAAACCTTCATTGCAATGAAAATGAAGATATATTAATAAAAGGGTGATTATTTATATTAAAACTCATTAAAATAAAAAGGTAACATATTTATTCATGAATTATGATATGATATTACATATTCTACTGCCTTTGAAACAAAAGTGAATTCATTTGTAGATTATGAGACAGCATTACATTTACAAACATTTTTGTCAGAGATGCTCTGCCAGCCTATTTGCCATTTTTATGACATTTTTTGTATGTAACTAAAGAGAAAATTGAATATTAATCAATGCTTTTCAGAACAAGTATCTGAGTAGCGTTATATAAAGCAGTAGTGGATCACTAAATAGCTCAGTGATTATCACTTCCATCTTTCAAAGCAGTTGGTAAATAGGCCTACTGGTCTGTAAGTTGTAGATGTAGAAGGTGGAGGGTCCTCTTTTTCATGCAACAATAGGCCATGTCATTAGACAAATTTTAACTGAGATCATTGTTGAGATGGAGGTGAAGCCTGCAAGCTCTGCGTGTTGCTGAAATTAAAAAATTATATAAGTTGTTGCTTATGTAACAATTATGATTGGGCCTGGTTCAGAATAAACTTATTAATGAAACCCTTTTTTCCTTTTAACACAAACTATGATTTTTATAAAAATAAGGTATTGAGATAACTAATTATTCAATATTATTACATTCTATTATACATACTTGGAACAACAGCAAGATGTGGAGCTTCTATCGGAATAGGAAGTGGTGCTTTTGTTGAAATAGGTGTTGCTAAAATCTTTGTAATTGCAGTCTCACTTGTTTAAATGACTTGGAATTATCTAAAACCAATTGTATATACTTTGAAAACATAATTCATAATTGTCATGCATGAATACAAAATAATCGAATCATTGTCTTAGAAAGTATTATAATAAACTTATTTAAAGGTATTTCATGCTCACCGGAGACGTGGTGCCAGTGGGGTTGTAGTAGGTAAGGCATGTAAATAGCGGTAGGATCCTGCAAGAATTTTAGGTTATTTAAATTAGTATTGGAAAAATAAAATAAGCACATTTTATGACAGCCAATTTAAGGGTGTCTGGTAAACTTATGGATAAACAGTCTTACAAAAATAAAAACTGTTATTACGAAACTTACAACATTTCGAAGAAATTAGTGCCGTTTTCCTTCTTGTAAGATTAATGGGCGGTCTTGAGATCTATAATTTTGCCAATTTACATTTTAAAATTATTTTAGTTAATACACCAATAATTTCTAACCTACATTATTTAAACCACAGCATCACTTGATCACTTTATTTATAATTTGTATGTTGTGTAAACCACGATTAAAAACACAGACCATAGATCACAAGATTTTATACCGCAGAGATTATCACATAACGCAAAGCAAAGGCAAGGCACCGTTCAGCCAAGTTATCAAACTTTAAAAATAAGACAATTTTAAGTTTAAAATCAGTAAAACTTTAGACCTAGGCTTCGAATCTATAAATATATCTAGAGAATTAATTTAAGTGCATAGAGCAACACGGCCGAAGCGGCCAGGAGGGAAGTAGGCATTCACAGCTTTTCCCTCTGCCGATTTTCCCCCGCAGCGCTGTTGGCACAGTATACGAACAGAACTAATTGCGCTCGCATATTTCTCTAAACTGAATCAAGTCATTTGAGTGTATGTTAGGAGATCAAAAATGCCAAAATGTTCTGTAATTTGCTGTAAAACATATATGGAACATCAAACTTATAAAAAGGTGGTGTTAAATTTCACATATAAGTAGAATTATTAACATAGTGGTGTCGATTCTTGCATAATTCTCTAAACCTAAATTT